GTAACGCGTCCGACTTAAATAGTTCAAGTTGGTTCAAAACGCGTTCATTTTCATTCGAAAAATGTACAATTTTGCTTGAAAAACGTTCTCTTCTTCTTGAAAAGTGTTCAATTTAAAGGTATAAACCGGTTATCTAGGGTGATATATACTCTTTCCAGGTGTTTCTCGAAAAGATTACGACATTTTGGCGACTGCAAGGTTTCGAATTCAAAAATTTGGTTGTGGATGGTAAAAACGTTGATCTCTTCAAGCTTTACAAGGTCAGCTTTTTTGTCTTTTTCCTTTTCTTTTTTTACCAAATTTTTTGTCTCGGATCATACCCTGGTCTTTTGTCAGATGCTCATCTATTCTAGTCAAACTTATTCTGTCCCAATCTTTCGCATTTTTCCATACATCTCTAATTTGACCTTCATTCTTTGTCTTGGGTTCATACTTTGCGATCGGATGGCGCAACATCCATTAGGTGAGTCGCTGCAGCGACTGTATCCAAGAACTCGGTCGTGATCGCGTGGTCCAAAGGATCGGGTCGCGAATTAGAAGGCGCTCCTGCATACTTGAATTGCTCTCATATAGAACTCTATACTGTTTCTGCTTGTTTTTAAAGTCTCCTTTGACTTATTTCTACAGTGCTCCGATAAAAAAGAGCCAAATTGTTTGGATTCCATCGGTTCAACTGACATTAGCCAACATTTTCAGGTAGTCAAAAGTTTGGGTGGTGCCGATACGGTAACATCTAAAAAGCAATGGACGCAAGCTTCTCGAAAAGTGAATGTACGAAGCAATCATGGGATTTCCAATCTCAAGGCTTATTATCTCAAGTTCATGCAACCTTTTGTGAATGTATTAGAAGTATGTTAAGTGGATGATGCCAAGGTAATGTGATGTTACGAAGAGCTTTTTTTCTAGAACACACCACCTGTCGAGGAGGATCCTCATAGTGACGCGGACACAAAAGAACGTGAGGAAGATTGTCAGCCAACTATGCAGGGAAGAAGACGAGCTGCCCGTCCAAAGGGAAGAATGATGGCTGGGCTGCCACAACCAAAGAGAAGCAAAGTCACTACACATAAAAGTGAGGAAACGTCAGAACCTCCGCTTCTTTTTCATCTTTCACATTACATGTTACTTATCCGTACCTGCTATGATTCCCAGCTTATAGGGAGGTACTCCAATTTTCCGTTGATTCCGCCCTACTGTTTCTGAAAGTAGTTATTCTTATCAACTTTAAAATTCCCATAATAATCGTCAGTGAGAACCCTGTTTGGCGCAGTCCGGTTTTTAGGGAGGCCTCATTTTGTACTTTTTCAACTTTCCGTAGTCGTGTTCATTGCTTTACAAAGTTGACAAGTAGTCTTTATAAACTGATTGGTACCACTCCACTCCATTATCATTGGGCTTCACAAGACTTCGCAGATCTCTATTTTCGATCGCAAAATCCTTACCCTCTAGTCAAAGTGCGCGTGGAACTGCTTTCGCTTTGCTGTTTTCCTTTTGGCGCGGTTTTCCCTTGTGCTTTGCAGAGTAGCGAGCATATTTTCGAAGATTTCAGTGCGGATATGTGATCCACCATCCTCTTCCAATTTTCAGTTGTCCTTTTTCTTTCGAGTAATGGAACCGTTGGCCATTCTTCCCTTTTTCAGAGAAGCCTGATCCTATGGAGAGTGTTTACTGTAGTGTTTGCGGAAGTGGTGATGATGAAGATCGCCTACTACTGTGCGAGGATTGTGACAAGAGCATTCACACCCACTGCTGTGATCCACCTTTGGCTGGTGTCCCCAAGGTACGTTTGGAGTGGACCGCTTGTCGAATAACCTCTACCGCAAGCTATTCAAACGTTATACCGTATGACTAAATTTTTAGGGTGAATGGCGTTGCCCGGCTTGTGTCGCAAAAGAAGTTTCCAAAATCGGTCTCAACTATGGATTTTATGATGCCCATGTCAAATATAATCTGTTTACATTTGCGGAGTATGCTAATAAGTTCAAAACTGACTACTTCAATGTGAAAGAACCAGAGGTAACTATTTTTGGCACGGGTAGATTTTATGTGGTAGGGCATTGAAAACGTCATTTTGCTTTATCAATTTTAGGAAGTACCGGATGACGCAGTAGAACGTGAATTTTGGCGAATTGTCTTTGACACCGAAGAGGAGGTGTCTGTCAAGTATGGAGCTGATCTCATCACTAGCAAGGTTACTATCACCCGGATAGGTCGTGCTTCTTTTGCTTTTATGTTGCCTGTGGAACTGCTCCTTTCAGGTGGGTAGTGGGTTCCCTAGAAAAGGAGACGACCATCGAGGCGCGGATGCAAAGCTGAAGCAGTTATATGCGAACCATGCGTGGAATCTTAATAATCTTCCGGTTTTGAGGGAATCCGTCCTTTCGCATATCGAGACAGGCATTTCTGGTAAGTGTCAGCAATAGATTTGGTGGTAATGGTGAACCAGTCTATTTCTTCAGGGATGATGGTCCCTTGGGTGTACGTTGGAATGTGCTTCAGTACGTTCTGTTGGCACACGGAAGATCATTGGACTTACAGCATCAACTATAATCATTGGTATGATGTTTTTACTACAGCAGTTTTCCCATTGCTTGTGATTCGGTCAACATTCAAAGTTTGAATTCAGGGGCGAACGGAAAATCTGGTATGGAATCGGTGGCGATAACGCTTGCAAATTCGAAGAAGTACGAACCTTCAAAATCCGTATTTTTTTTGTACAATTAGCGAATCCAGCATGCTTCGCACCTATAGCTTTCGTGGTCTTCGTAAGAGTCGATACTGCGATCACATTTTTGTTGGTTAGATTGGCGACCAACTAAACACTCACCGCCGTGATTCCTGGTCCTTTCCAGGCAGGTGCAATGGGTCCGTAGCTGCAGTCGCGTGCCTTTTCCTACTGTCAGAAGTGCATGGGGACGGGGCTAGAGGGTGGTTATGTGCCGTCTCCCGACTCCGCCCGCTCTTTCGCACGGGCAGCCACAAACCTAACCATAGCCGAACACATTGCATGTCTGCGCTCTCTCTCTCTTCTGTTGTTGTTTCTACCTGTGACTTTGTGTTCGCTGAAAATTCTGACCGTTAACAATACTGCGGACGGAGTATGAGAACGGCATCAACGGTGTTACTACCTTCCATCCCGTTTCAAGCATTTGTATGTGGAGAATGGGCCAGCTATTGCACCTCCGGACCCATTCGCGTCGCATACAAAAGGTGCTTTTCGGAGGTTACTGAACAGTTCGTTTTTGAAAGCACTAAATGTATGTGCGAATACGTTAAGTTTCGCACGTTTTCTCTCGTGAAAATATTGTTGAAGTTGAAGTAGTATTGTGCGAGCTCGCTGAGAGCCGGTATCTTTCCAGGCTGTGCGTAAACTGGCTCCGGGAGCGACAGTACAGAAGGATATATTCCACCACATGACCACAGCTGTAAATCCGGCTATATTGATCTCTATGGGAGTAAAAATATGGACGGTAAGTATCATTCCTTCGTTTTTTGACATCATACCGGGATTTCCCGAATCGATTCAGGTTCACCAAAATGCTGGCGAATTTGTGATTACGTTTCCTCGAGCATATCATGCGGGCTACAATGAGGGTCTTAATTTTGCAGAAGCAGTAAACTTTGCCCCCATTGACTGGGTAGGCAGTAATGTGTTAGCTATTCTCAATTTCATATTGTCAATCGCATCATTTTAGCTGAGTAAAGGACGTCAGTGTATTACTGAGTATGCGGATGTTCGCCGATTTTGTGTCTTTTCTCACGATGAGCTGGTACTGAAGATGGCTTCTTCTTGCGAAAAATTGGGAATCGCAATGAGTTTGGCAACGCTGGATGAGATGTTGGAGGTAATAAAGGTTGTTATGACTGGCGCGTTCACTGGGTGGAAGACTCATTCCGGTACCACCTGATAACTCCTTGCGTGCACGATGAGCAGGCCGGCACGCGCGCACAGCATCGCGGAACTGAGTAGCTTGTGACTTGAGCCTGACTGTACCTTCTCCAACCTGAACCTTACCACGCACCTGTCCATTTTCGTTAATTATTTGCTCCAGAACCATTTGGTCTGTCCGCTTAACTCCACTCGCACTGCTAAACCTCTTTACGAATTTATTATCCGCATGCTGCTCCGCTGAAAATCGACAGGAACTTGCGATCAGCGCCTTGGATGGCTTCTTGCTTATAACGGGAACTAGTTCACACGTGCAAATTAGTCTTTACACGGCGTGGTAGGATGCACTTG